GGAGCTGTTCTTTCATGGAAGATCTGTATGGATTGATTGGGAACCAAAGCAATTTATATGCACAGCAATTTATCACTGCCAACCCAAATTCAAACCTTGCCAGACAATTTGCATGGTTTCTGAATTTAAAGTTTTTTGGATCTAACCCCCAACATTGGCATTACATAAAACAATGAGTCACAGTCATATTGATACACTCTGCTGTCATGGCTAGGCATAAATATGGGGCTTCCCCCTAGCGGCTTGTAAACACTAAACTTAGAAAGGCAGAGAATGCCTGCTTGAAAAATTATGAATTGCTCCCAGTGAAGTGGAAGTACAAACCGGATGTTTTCGTCCTGTCTTCCATTCACGAAGACATAACAGTCCAAATTTGCATGGCAACTGGTGTTGTTAAGAAGCCACTTTGTGTCCACAACTATAACCTTAACATGGGAGGGCTGGCCTTCTGTCAGGGATCCGGGTGTGACCAGAAATGTGTGGACTGACACAGGGAAGTAGCAGGCTTCAGGAACACAGGCGTAGTCAGGGCTGGAGAGGTGGAATGGTCAGGCGGGCCGTAAGGTACTGTCAGGCACCGCCCGGCGGGATCTCTAGTGACCCACAGAACAGGATTCCCCAGGGGGCGGAGTCTAAGCCCCAGTCTGCCTTTTCACCAGAGCCCCTGATGGTAGGGATGGACTTGGCGCAGGACTGAGAACAGGTCGCGGCCCCTGAGTGCACCCAACTGTGGTAGAGGGGTCCGCCGAGGGTATGTACCAGGGGAAAGCCTGATGTGAAGGGGCTGGCAGGTTTGGACAGTAGTGACTGGATCCGTGCAGGATGGATGGATAATCTGGGTAGCGTCAGACGTAGTCAGGCAGGCCAGGTCAGCAACGTGCGGGCAGTGAGGTACCGGAGGAGCAGGCAGAGAATAGTCAGGGTCACAAGCCGGGTTCAGTAACTCACAGGCAGCGCGGTACAGAGGATCAGGAAGAAGGATGGTCAGGCAAGCCAGGGGTTCAACAGGAGATGGTCAGCAGAGGTCAGGATCAAAGCAGGGTCAGCAATTAGGCAGATAGGCAGGAACACAGGATACCAGGTACAGGGGCTCATGGGAAACATACACCAAGGCCCTGACTGCAGGTCTGGCCATTCCTTAAATACACCTCCTGCAATCAGCCACAGGTGTTGGCTGATTGCAGGAGTGAGCTTCTGGCTGCTGAGAGCACCCGCTGGTCAGCCCTGGTACTGCAGCCCACACGGCAGGTGAGTCCCACCACCAGTGCTGAGTCCATTCCTGACAGCTTCAATGACCAGATGATGAAGCCGTGCTTAGTTTCACATAAAGCCAGAGGCTGGTATAAAATAGTGTCTGTATATTTATTTCAATTGGCTCTGTACAGCGCTTTTGTGCTTTACAAAGTCACTGGACAAAGTGGATCCTTCCTAAAATTTTAGGAAGAGATCTTTACAGCCCTTTTGTATCCAGAAGGTGCTGTGGCCCAAACCCCCAACCCAGATGCAGTGAGCTAACTGCATGACGGGCATTTTCCTGATGCCAATCCTGGTACCCCAACCTAAAAGTCACCCCAAAAAAGATGTTGTGTCTGTAGCAGACATGGAATTAGATGTGGCACCTTCTTTTTTTTGTCCCTCCTGTCCTGGCCAACCTGCTCTCTGCCTCAAGAACTGCTTCTGTCGCTACCACACACTAGTGGAATATTAGTATAGGGTACAGCACAGCACAGTGTAGTCATATTTACACAGGGTCTCAAAGGATGCTAGGTAGTCAGGAAACTGGCTATCTCATTTTGAGAAACCCTAAAATCTGGAAAGTTTACTGCTTTACAAAAAAAAAAATAGTTGTCAGTTGTCATTTTATTGAGTTACTACTCTGTTGTTACTGTTTTATTGTTAACCGTTGTTGTTTTCTTTGCGAACGCCATTCAGCTGCAGCACTGATCTGTTTATTCTGTCAGCAACAGAGTGTGCTCTCAGAATATACCTTAGTGCATGCAGCAGTGCTGGATGAGATTTATCATCCGCAGTTAAAAAAAAAAAAAGAACATATATGCCCAAGCATGAGGGCCTGGGGTGGTCAGTGGGTGGATTGCTCCTATGCTTTGACATATATATTTTTCATATTTTTTTTGGCACAGATTTCAATAAAGAAAGTTGTTTTATTGAGTTAATGTTTTATTGTTACTGTGTTTTATTGTTAACCATTGTTGTTTTCTTTGCCATTCAGCTGCAGCACTCTCTGTTTATTCTAACAGTAACATGTTTGCATGTTCTCTCTGTGCTTGTGTGTGTTTCTTCAGGTACTCTGGTTTCCTCCCACACTCCAAAGACATGCTGGTAGGTTAATTGGCTCCTATCTAAATTGGTCTAAATATGTTTATGCTATCAATGTGCATTAGGGACCATAGATTGTATGCTCCTTTAGGGTAAGGGACTGATATAAATGTACACAGGCTGGACGAAAAAAAAAGAACATTTCATGTATGCCCAACATTAGAAGTGGGTGGATGCAGGGTGGTATATTCTAATGGTGGGCATACCACATACTTTTTCTGTCAGATATTTCTTCTCTTTTTTCATTCAGCTCATAGGCTGCATAAAAAAAAGAACAAATATGCCCAACAAGGACAAGTGACGTACTGGTACATCACTAGACCTTTGAATGCTTATACCAGGATGACACACAACGCTGCCTTTCACAGCTTTCTTGGACTTTCCCTTCCCATCAGGGAACCTGAGAATGCATTTGGCATTTCCAGCAGCTGACCATAAAGTTGATTGGAGACTGGAACAGCCCCAATTATCTCTATAAAAATGTATGTAGTTTGTTGTAGTTGCACAGGGCATGCAGATATTTAAAGCATGTCAAGTTTGCTAATTACTTGGCATAACATCATCTTTTACATTTTACCAAACAATTGGCCAACATATTGTGTTTTTGTGCATTAAATTCACAAAAAATTTGGGTTTTTTGAAAAAAAAAACTTTCCAATTGAAAAATCGCTGTGCAAGTACTGTGTGATATAAAAAATTGCAGCACCCACCATTGTATTCTCTAGGGACTCTGCTTTAAAAAATATATAATGTTTGGGGGTTCAAAGTAATTTTCTAGGAAAAAATACAGTTTTTTTTTTCAAGTGAACAACAAAATGTCAGAAAAGGCTATACCAGTGGTTAGAAGAGTGGGTGATGTGTGGCAGAAGCTTCTAATGCTGGGCATAAAATGCCAGGATAACAACCCTGCTGAGAGGCATGTTGAGTCAATAGAAGAATTTATTTTTTACCAAAAGTTTTTGGAAAATTAAAAAAAAAAATTACACAAAATTGTCACTTAAAAGATATATTGCTCAAACATGTTATGGGTATATGTGGAATTACACCCAGTATGGGGATACCACATGTGAGAGGATTTTTGGCAGGCTAGCTGTGAACAGGACCCCAAATCCAATAAACACCTTCAGGCTTTTAAAAGGCTTTATTTCCTCATTACACTTCCTGACTACCTATCACAGTTGCGGAGGCAATCCAAGGTATTTGCTAAGAGGCATGATGAGTATTTTGCAGAACTTGTTTGTTGCCACAGGTATTTGGAAAATGAAGAAAGAAAACAAAATCATATTTTTTTTTCTTTCCTTTTTTATTTTTCAAAACTTTGTGACAAAAAAATTAGACCTGCAAAATACTCACCATGCCTCTTACTAAATTCCTTGTGGCCTTCTTTCCAAAATGGGGTTATTTGGAGGGGAGGGGGGGTGTTATCTTTGCATTTCTGGGCCTCTGAAACTGTGATAGGTAGTGAGGAAGTGAAATGAGGAAATTAGGCACCTTCAAGCTTTCAAAGGGGTCACTGGATTTCAGGCTCCTGTATGTGGCTAGGATCCCAAAAAGTCTCACACGTGTGGTATCCCCATACTCAGTGGAAGTAGCAGAATGTATTTTGGGGTGTAATTCCACATATACCCATGGCATGCGTGAGCAATATAACATTTAAATGACAACTTTGTAGAAATTTCTAAAAACGTGGTAAAAAATAAAAAATATTGCATTAACTCAACATGCCTCTCAGCAAATGGTTAGGGGTGTTTACTTTCCAAAAAAGGGTAATTTCATAGGCTCTGAAACTGTGATAGATAGCCCCAAAAAGTCTTGCACATGTGGTGTTCCCATACTTGGGAGAAGTCGCAGAAATATATTTTGGGGTGTAATTCCACATATACCCATAGCATTTGAGAATATATACCATTTAAATGACAACTTTGTTTGAAAAATTTTTTTTGTCATTTTCCAAAAACTTGTGAAAAAAAATAAATCTTCCATGGACTCAACATGCCTCTCAGCAAATAGCTTAGAGTGTCTACTTTCCAAAAAGGGGTCATTTGGGGGTGTTTGTAATGCCCTGGTATTTTAGCACCTCAAGAAATGTAATAGGCAATCAGAAAGTAAAAGCTGCATAAATTCGAGTATCAATACCATAGTTTGTAGGCACTATAACTTTCACACAAACCAATTATTATACACTTATTGTGATTTTTTTTACCAAAGACATGTAGCAGAATACATTTTGGCCTAAATTTAAGATTAAATTTGAGTTTATTCGATATTTTTTAGAGCAGAAATGAGAAAATATCTTTTTTTTCCAAAATGTTCTATTTTTTCCATTCATATTATAAGAAATAAAAACCCAGTGATGATCAAATACCACCAAAAGAAAGCTCTTTTTGTGTGAAAAAAAATTATAAAATTTTGTTTTGGTACAGTGTTGCATGACAGCGCAATTACCGTATTTTTCGCTCCATAAGACGCACTTTATTCCCCCCAAAAAGGGGGGAAAATGTCAGTGCGTCTTATGGAGCGAATGTAAATCGGCCGGTCCGGTATTTCTGCCACCACCATGTCAGAATATCGGGCCGGCTGCTCAGCTCTTCTCTCCTGCAGGACCTTACCTGTTCCTCGCTCCTGCACTGCAGTCTTCCCGCGGCGGCTTCTGTGACAGCCGGGTGCCCACTGTGCATGCGCGAGAAGCGCCGTGCTTTGTGAATGGTCCGGTGTCTTCTGAAACACATGACAGGTCCCAGAAGGCTCCGGGCCATTCACAAAGCGCAGCGCTACTCGTGCATGCACAGTGGGAACCCTGCTGTCATAGAAGCCGCCGCGGGAAGAAGGAAGGACAACTTCGCGGAAGTGGGAGCGGGTACCTGTCAAATTCAGGTACCCGCTCCCCCTCCCTCCCCAAAGGTCCGCAGTCTCTGGTAATCTCCTTTACTGTCTGCAGTCTCTGGTCATCTCCTGTACTGTCTGCAGTCTCTGGTCATCCCCTGCACTGTCTGCAGTCTCTGGTCTTCTGTACTGTGTCCGCAGTCTCTGGTCATTCCCTGTACCGTGTCCGCAGTCTCTGGTCATCTCCTGTACCATGTCCGCAGTCTCTGGTCATTCCCTGTACTGTGTCCGCAGTCTCTGGTCATTCCCTGTACTGTGTATGCAGTCTCTGGTCATCTCCTGTACCGTGTCCGCAGTCTCTGGCCATCTCCTGTACCGTGTCCGCAGTCTCTGGTCATCTCCTGTACCGTGTCCACAGTCCCTGGCCATCTCCTGTACCGTGTCCGCAGTCTCTGGCCATCTCCTGTACCGTGTCTGCAGTCTCTGGCCATCTCCTGTACTGTGTCCGCAGTCTCTGGTCATCCCCTGTATCGTGTCTGCAGTCTCTGGCCATCTCCTGTACCGTGTCCGCAGTCTCTGGTCATCCCCTGTCCTATGTCCGCAGTCTCTGGTCATCTCCTGTCCTATGTCCGCAGTCTCTGGTCATCTCCTGTCCTATGTCCGACGTCTCTGGTAATCTCCTGTACTGTGTCCGCAGTCTCTGGTCATCTCCTGTACTGTGTCTGCAGTCCATTGGTTCAGAATATTTTTTTTCTTGTTTTTCTCCTCTAAAACCTAGGTGCGTCTTTATGGTCAGGTGCGTCTTATGGAGCGAAAAATACGGTACCAGTTAAAGTAGCAAACTGCCATATAGCAAAACATGGCCTGGTCATGAAGGGGAGTACATCTTCCAGAAGACAAGTGCAATATCATTTGCTTTGCAAAATGTACCTTTCACTTTTTGTTTCCAAAAATGGTGGTAACCTTGCAGCCAGGTAATCATTTACTGATCACCCATTAAAGTGGTTGTAAAGGCTGAAAGTTTTTTACCTTCATGCATTCTATGCATGAAGGTTAAAAAGCCTTTTCATTGCAGCAGCCCCCCCCCCCCCCCCGCCCCCTCAATACTTACCTGAGCCTCATCGCGATCCAGCGATCTGAATGACAGCCTCTACTGCACTGGGTCTCTGCCTCCTCAATGGCTGAGACAGCAAGCGGGAGCCAATGGCTCCTGCTGCTGTCAATCACAGCCAGTCAGCCAATGAGGAGAGATAATTTATTAATTAGGTGATTTCTGAAGGCAATTGGTTCCACTAGATTTTAGTTAGGGGAATCAGAGTAAAGGGAGCTGAATAAAAATGCGCGCCACACTTTTCAGATATTTATTTGTAAAAAATGTTGAAAACCATTTATTATTTTCCTTCCACTTCACAATTATTTGCCACTTTGTGTTGGTCTATCACATAAAATCCCAATAAAATACATTTACGTTTTTGCTTGTAACATGACAAAATGTGGAAAATTTCAAGGGGTATGAATACTTTTTCAAGGCACTGTATGTCATGTGGAAGAAGGTAATCAAACTACAGGTGGGTAGCTGTCCTATCCAAGAAGAAGTGAAGAAGGGGCTTGTGTAGTTTGGTATAAACACCTGCCCAGTTTTAGTCCCACTTAAAAATGGGCTTCACAAAACCTAAAAAAGCATTGACTGGCAATGGGACCTGGAAACAGACATGCTATTTATTTTATTACAGGTAATTATATAGTGCCATTGATTTATGCAGTGCTTTACATATATTGTACATTCACATCAGTCCCTAACCCTCAAGAGGCATACAATCTAAGGTCCCTAACTCACAATCATACATACTCAGCTAGATTTCCAACATTGAATGGATTGGGTCCCTGTTGTTTTCTAGAATTTGAAGACAAGTTGAAGCCCTGCCACTGGTCAAGGACAGTGGGCAGATCCTAGAGAACTCCTTGTCCACTTACATGCTCTCATTTGCCCACCTAATCTCAGAGTGCAATATTGAAAACATAATTCTGAATAGATGTTATATTGGAATGCACTAGGTCAGTGTACCCTTCTATTTGTTTTTTTATCTTTACTTAGTAGGTAGGTCACCCTACTCAAGGAGGAGCTGCAAGACCCTTGTAGGACCGAGATCACACTTTTAATTTGAATTGTGGTGTCATTCATTTTACTTGTCACACAAATACACAAAAGCAATGTACCTGCATAGTAGCACGCCACAATGTGCAGTAACATACTGCCGTGTGTTGTATTACAAAAAAAAGGTCAGGTGCAGTTTTGGCTGCACTGGAGCACACTGGTAGCTGGTTCAGAATAAATAGGCTCCCTTGACATAAAGGGGGAGATTTACTAAAACCGGTGCACTCAGAATCTGGTGCACCGATGCATGGTAACCAATCAGCTTCTTACTTCAGCTTTTTAAATTTTTAATTAAGCTTTGACAAAAAAATAGAAGCTGATTGGTTTCTATGCATAGTTGCACCAGATTTTACACTCTCCAGTTTTAGTAAATAACACTCAATGTGTGATAGTTTCTGTGCGTTGCACTGGCTTGATCCTGGCCTAAAGCATGACACCTACAGTTTTTTTTTGTTTTTGATAGAGTAGGAAAATGTTTACATTTCTAGGTTTTTATTTCTGTTTTTGGAGATTTCTCCCTCAATGTCTGTCCCTGGGCTGCTATCATCAGTGGGACAGGAAGGAATGACAGCAATAAAATCTGTAAAGTGGTTGTGAACCTTGGACATGAAATATGAACAAAGCAAAGTATATCCCTCTATAGTGTGTACTTGTCGCAATCCAGAGCATTAAGTATCATTTCTGTCTGATGCCTCATTCCTCTGCAATTAGCATGATTCACTTCTGACAAGTTTTTCTGACACCAAAAGAAAAATGTGACAGGAAGGGATCTCCATCTCACAACCTGTGATTGACAGCCTGAGCTCTGTTCCTGTGTGCTGTGTTAGGAAGGGTGGTGTCCCTTCTTTCCAATCAGCTCTCAGAGCTCTCCTCACTGATGTACCTTTTGTCCCCCAACTGCCTGCTTTTCAAAGCTGAGAGATCCTGTATAAATTCTGAACTCTGTATGGATGTAGGGGCCAGACAGCTATAGATAAACAGGTACAACTTATATAAGAGGATTTGTTTCATCTCTGTGTATCACTTCACTGGGTATATGTAACTGTTTACAACCAATTTAATTTACTTAGTAAATTATATCTTTGTTTTTTACCTGTGTGCCCGTGGATAGATTTCCCATCACTTCCTTTCCTGACTGGAAGTAACAGGGAGGAAATATCCCAAAACAGGAACACAAACAGCAACAGCAACAAAAACTGGGCAAAAGAGGACAGAAAACTGGGGTTTAAATGGCATAGTAATGATACTGATAGCATAGGTTAGCAGGGGTGTCAAACTGGTGGCCCTCCAGCTGTTGCAGAACTACAAGTCCCATCATGCCTCTGCCTTTGTGAAGTCGTGCTTGTAATTGTCAATATTGCAATGCCTCATGGGACTTGCAGTTTGGTAACAGCTGGAGGGCCACCAGTTTGACACCCGTGGGTTAGAGTAATTCCTTTCTTGTGCACTGAGACACACATAAAGCATCCCAGCAAAGGGGCACGAAAACTAATTTCTAGTAGCCCATTTGTCCTAAAGTGGTTCTTGGTGCACAATAACATTAATATACCAGTAGCATAGCTCTCAACTGTCCCTCATTTGGAAGGACTGTCTATAATTTGAGACTAAATCTCTCTGTCCCGTGCAGCCTCAGTTGTCCCTCTCTATAAATCTCTATACATCTCTATAAAATATCTACTATTGTACTAAACTTTTCATCCAAACTTTTTATAATTGCATTTGTTACTTTGAAACACCAATATAATAGAAAACTAGATGTAAAAAAAAGGACTTAGCTAATAATTTTCTGCATATTTGATTTCTGTGCTGTCCCACAACAGTGTCCCTTTTTATCATCTTAGAAAGTTGGAAAGCACTATTACCTAAGTAATTGATTCTATCCCATATCACTGATTCTGAGGCAAAGGAAAAACAAACAAACGCCATAATCATAAAGTCCAAAATACATTAAGTAACATGGCCGTTTTGTATTTTAACTTAAAGGAAACCTATCCTGCGAGAAGTACCTTTTCTGCCATCCCTCCAGCTTCACTATTAAGCAAAAATAGAATGCTACATGAATCGGAATAATACAAAAAATGTCCACTGCCCTGTCACCATCATGCACACAGAGATGGGCGCGGTCCTTCATTTTGCTCCTAAACCTCTGCATTTTGGTATTTCTCTTAAACTCCTATGCATGCACCTGGAGGTTTCATGTATCTCCTCATTCCCCTCCCTCAGGAATGCAAGCAGCATATGATGCTGAGCCTGCCTAACAATCCTTTTGCCAAATAAGGTATTGGTTTGGCCATGATAGGAAAATTCCAGTGCGATTGTCTTAGATAAGGAGAGCTTTCTCTCTTCTTGAGGTCAGTTAGAGAGATATAACGGTCTGTGATACAAGATCTGCAGACAAAAAGCAAAGTCTCCTGCGATGAGTCAACGGAATTGGCAGTAGAGACAAGAAGCAAATCAACCTGAAGCTCATGAAACTTGAAGCTGCTTAACTCCACGCATTTATTTGGCAAGTACTTACTTACCTAAACTTCTTTCTGTTATCTGTTTGCTGTGCTGTGTTGCTCTGTATATTTATATATATATATATATCTTAATTACAACTTCTTTCTGTAAATATTCGTATTGCACCCTTTTAACCTTTTGGTAATAAATCTTACTTTCTGAAAGTGTTGAATTGTTTCTATAGCTCTAAATTGCAATTTACGAATTCCTGCCTCTATAATGAGAACGCTACTATGAGTATTTAACCCTCTGTATAACCGGTCTGTAGAGATAGCGGGATACTGACGGTTAACCAATCATCCTAGTATATTGCTGAGTTTCCTCTTTCTCTGATCAAAAAGGAGGTGGTGGCAGTGTGAAGGGGTTAATTGCGTAAATAACCCGACCCAGTAACAATAACGTCCAAGCTGCAGGTACATAGATTGTAGTCCATTAGCTGGAAAATCTTTGTGCAGGGTGCAGCTGGGCATGGTATCTTTACGCACGTCACATCGCGGTTTGGATCGGCCAGTCCTTCGGTGGTCACGAGTTTGGTGAGAAGGTTTGGGGTCTGACGCCGCGCCCGTGATATATTGGTGGCAGCGGGTCATGGGATTGTCCCATGTTGGTGGTGGCGATCTTGTGATCTGTGACATGCCCCAGTCTATAACTCGCCTTCACAGCAAGGAGCACATGGAAGGATGACACATGTGAAACAACAAAATAGAAAAATTACCAGCTCAGCTTGCCAACCAGCCTGCAAACAAACTAAATTCACCTGTCTAACAGTATGCGTTAAAAGCAGGGGTTTAGTTAGCACACATTTGCAAAAACATACGTAAGCTACAGAGCCTCGTTACGGCACCCCAATATTCTGCAGTTCCTAACTCTACAAATTTTGAGAGCCCCCATAGTAGAGGCACATGCATTTAATGGATAGATCAAGGGCAGGTGGACCTGAGGAAGCTGTAATCGAAATAAGAATGCAGTTGGTGATGTTGGAACTCAGAGCCCCTGATGGCGTCTTGAGGATGAAATTGGTAGGGCATGGCTACAGGCACGTGACATCATACTGCATTGAAAACAGCCATTTGCACACAGCAGAGAGCAGGTAGAGCTGTGTTCTCATAAACCACATAAGCTGCAATGTTAGTGCTGGGACAGCACTGCCCAATGTGAGTGGATTGTTTTACTTGCTTTTCATATGTTTTAATAAATGGACTTACGTAATGTTTTTCTCTTATCATCACTTGATTTCATATATGGCAAAATGATAGCCTTTGAGATCTGGATATCCACAAATGAGTATGAATAAATCTTAAAGTGTTCCTAAACCCACAACAGTAAAATCAGTCTGTATATGCAGTAAAGCATGCTTGTTATACTCACTGTGGAACCTAAGGGGTTACTCATCTGCATTGTGTAAAAAGGCTGTTTGATCCTTCTCTGCCCCTCCTCTTGTTCAAATGTCCACATGATAACACAGACTGAACCCATAGCCATTCTGCACATGCTGAGTTTGGTGTGTATTGCTAGAGAGGTTTTTTTTTTTCTTGGGAGAGTGCATGTGATCAGCACATAGTCAATCAGCACTGTCTGGACAGAAGGTCAGGAGTTTTGCATCCTTCTAGAGCAGAAAGAAATCTCTTACTACCAGATGTGCATTTAGGTTTTGTGCTGCCCCAGGCAACACAAAAATTGGATGCACCCCCTCCTCGGCAGAGAAAGCCCCGACACCGACCAACACCAGACCCCCCCCCCCCCCCCCCCCCCCGCGGAGAGAGCCTGACAGTGACCAACAACATCCCTGCTGCCCCATCCCTCCCACCTGAGAGAGCCTTCCTCTATCACCCCCTGGCATTAGAGAGAAAGACATTCTCCTTCACAGCTCTGACCATCCCCAGGAATGACGGTTGGGCTCTGCATACACCACCAAGCAGCCCACAGCCTCTCATGGATCCCACCTGGTCCCCATGCTGCATATGTCCATTCTTCCAAAAAAATGCCACCCTAGGCAAATGCCTTGTTTGACTTGTAGTAAATACACCCCTGCCTCCTACAGGCTTTAACCAGTGCTCTGCTGAAGTCACAAGATTGCTGTAACTGCTGATGAGAAAAGGTATTTAGCAGTTTATATTTACTAAAATAATTGCATGTCAATGTTCTGTGTACTGTGGGAGACCAGATATAATGAATGCAGGGTCCTGGGTTTAGTAACACTTTAAGGGTTTTGGGTTTAGTGAGTGCTCTGAGAACTGAGGGAGGATTCACACAAGATCAATCAAAGGTGGCACACTGTGAAGTTGTTGAAGGTTGCACCTTTGATGTGATTGAAGATTGCACTGGAGAACTGCTCATAGCACTGCATTGACTGTATCATAGAGATTGGTGCATGCACAGCGTCTGGCAGAGTTTTGCTCCTAGGACTTATGCACAAAAAGATTTTTTGTATTTTGTACAGAACTGCTTGCATTTGCACATTATATGTGTGTACAGTATATAAGATGTTAATGTTTTAAGAAGCCTTAGGAGCAGGGGCTGACTGATAAATCATGGGGCTCCTGGGCAGTAGGGGATTATGGGGCCCCTGTGTCCTCGCCCACACTCAAACCACACCCAAAAAAAAGCCTCTGAAAGGTACCAAGGGCATCTCATGGGGCCCCCTACTGACCCTGTGCCCTCAGGCAGTGCCCAAGAGCTCCAATGGTCAGTCTGCCTCTGCTTAGGAGGTTGGACACTGTGAATTATAGCACTTTTAAGTTTAAAGAGATAGTGCACATTATAATGAATAATTCATTAGCACTACATTATTATTATTAATTGTCTCACTAAGTAATGAAACGGGAGGTTCACCATGCAGCTATAAAAAATAGCATTTTCAGAAAATGGTTGGGAATGTCAGCCCTGTGACAGGTTCTATTTGAGCAAACCTTGAGTACAACCTACAAAAACTAAATATATAATCGTTTATGCGTTAGAATAACAATGTGAATATAAGTTATTAGCATTCATTTGACATGCACTCATTTACTTATCCATCACCATTTAATGAATAGCAGAAGTAGTAAAGGTATTTTGTTCTATTTTTAATTCTGTGACAAGACCACAAGATGGTGTCAGAGAGTTCTCTGTTCTCCTAGAATTGTGAACAGACAACTTTCTGGGCTGTGGTGTGGAGTGTGAATTGGTGAAATAATGTTTGCGAATATTAGGCCACCAATATCTCATGTGCTCTTGTTAAAAAAAAAAAAAAAGTTATTTTAAAGCCCAACATACACAGATTTATTGTAGCTTCACATAAATTGATACAAATACATTTTCTCTCATTTTTGTACATCATCTAGAATATAATCCAGCAAACATCTAAATGCTACCCTGTATTAAAAAATAAAAAATAAAAAAGTGCCCCCTGCAAAGATAAATGCTACCAGCTTGCACTCCATTGCAAAGATACAGCTGCCAGAAGAATCTTCAGAATTCAGCACTTTTGGGAATGTCAGTTTCCTGTCCCCCGCTGTGCTCTATGAGTCCTGCTGGCAACCCCCATGTCAATATAAGACACAATAATGACACTGGGGCCACAGAAGAGAACCAATGAGCACTGTGGGGGACCTGGCATCTGCAAACCCACAGGAAAAGGATTCTGAAGATTCTTTTTTTTTATTTTTTTTACTTTTTTTTTTTCTATAAAGGGAGTACATTGTTTTTTACTTTTGCACTGCCACTAATTAGTTGGATCCCATTTTTTTCATGATTTTTTCATACATACATTCAGAGAAATTATTTTTTTTATTGAGTTTTCTTGGTATGACTGGAACAGAGATCTAGAAAGGTACGTTGTCCAGAAGAAAATATTAAGAGTGAAAGTTTTGTAAAGGCGGTTATAAACCCTCGCTTATATCTAGTGAAGACACAGAGATGAAAAATCTTCCTACGTAAGTTATATTTGTTTATCTGTAGCCTCTACAACCTTCCAATACATACATTTTCACAGCATATCTCAGCAGCAGATAGCAGGAGGCTAGGATCTGATGTCATACACATTGCAGAGCTAGAGTACACAGGTCCATGACAGCTGATTGGAGAAGAGAGACAAACTGCACTCTTCACAGGCTCAGAGAAACATATATCTAAGGGCATGAGTAATCTGCTGTGTATTGGAGGGGGGGGGTGGGCCATCTCCCAGAGGGTTGAGGTGCTGGATTTATCCATTAGGAAGTAGTCATACAGATAGCAGAGAGAGGAGAGATCAGAAAGGAACCAGACTCAGTGATTTGGATTCAGGTCAGTACCCACTATAGAGGCATGTGCTTTGTTCATTTTTCATGTTTGTGGTTTGCAACCATTTTAAAGGGAAGTTTCACTTTAACAATTCCTTCCCCCCACCTCTCCCACTTTTGGAGGATATTTTTTGGGGAGGTGGCAGGTACCTAGTTTTAGAAGGTAGCCACTGCCACTTCCATTCCAACCACCTAGGTGAAGAGGGCAGACATTTTCTCCCCCTCTGCCTGCAACCTTTAGGGACGGATCATAGGTCCCAGGAGGCTGAAGGACCATTCACAAGGTGCAGTGCAGTTTGCACATGCACAGTGGGAAGCCAGCTTAGAAGCCACAAGGAGTCACAGCTAGCTTCCCTTAGTAAACATGCTGGTTACCAGAAGACCAGCAAAGAACCAGCCTGGGTGAGGACACCACTGGATCCTTGGACAGGTAAGTGTAGCTGTAGCTGCTGACTTTTATTTATTTATTTGGCAAGACTGAAGATCCTCTTTAACTACTTGCTCTCCAGAGGATTTACTCCCCCTCGTGACCAGGCCATTTTTTGCGATACAGCGCTGCGTTATTTTAACTGACAATTGCGCAATCATGCAATGCTGCACCCAAATTAAATTTATGTCATTTTTTTCCCCACAAATAGAGCTTTCTTTCAGTTGTATTTGATCACATGTGCGTTTTTTATTTCTTGCACTATAAACTAAAAAAGACTGACAATTTTGAAAAAAATCCCTATAGTTTTGATTTTTGCTATTAAACATGTCAGTAAAAAAATTAAAAAAAGCAAATTTCATCATAAATTTAGGCCAAAATGTATTATGCTAAATGTCTTTGTGAAAAAAAATCCCAATACATGTAAATTAATTGGTTTATGTGTAAGTTATAGTGTTTTCAAACAGCGATATATATATACTGGAATTTATTGTATTTTGTTTCTTACTAGTAAAGGCGGCGATCAGCGACTTATAGTGGAACTGCGGCGGGCATTCTGACACTGGGGGGAACTGACTTGGTGTCACTAACATCCCCAGGGACACCATTACAGTGATCAGTGCTAATAAAAAGCACTGACACTGTATTAATGGCACTGGACAGGAAGGTGTTAACATGTGGGGCGATCAATGGGTTAACTGTGTGCTGTTTTACTATGTGGGCTGGGTGCTCTATTATTTCATTAATATGCCAATATATTACAGTGTTCACTAGTTAAGTGTCACTATTGTGTCATTTTTACAACCACTGTTGTGACTCTTTGATCAATTGGTGCTTGGTGCCCCAGCTTTTTTAACTACTTCCAGTCCGGACACTTTTACCCCCTTCCTGTCCAGGCCAATTTTCAGCTTTCAGTGCTATCACACTTTGAATGACAATTGCGCGGTCATGCAACACTGTACCCATATGAATTTTTTAGAATTTTTTTGAGACAGATAAAGCTTTATTTTGGTGGTATTTCTTCACCATTTTTTAAAATTGTTTTTGCTATATAAATGTCCAAATATTTTGAAAAAAAGTGTTTTTTTATTATAAATAATATTTCATCATAAATCTTGGCCAAAATTGATTCAGTTATCTTTTTAGTAAAAAAAAAAATAACCCAAATTAGTTTATAACAAAAATTATAATTTACATTTTTTTTTATATTTTTCTTTTATTTTTTTATATTATTATTTTATGGTTTTTTTTTTGTTCTACATACTGTCACCCTAGCAGTACAGTGTCACTTGTGGGGGGTGATGAAGATTTTCTTTTTTTTTTCTACACTGATTGCTTTTACACCCATAAAGGCTGTAAAAGCAATCATTTCTCCTTCTCTCTGGCTGCATTCTTGCAGCCATTGAGAACTACTGTGTGAGCTGTGATTGGTCACAGCTTGTCACATGGTACAAGGCTGTTGTGAATAGCCTTGTACCATGTGACCTCTGTGATCATTCACAGATTTCACACGTAGTAAGCAATGATGTCAGAAGTGACATCTTGCTTACTACTCTGCATGTGATCACTGATTGGCCAATCAGTGATTACATGATCGGGACCTCGCACAGAGGTCCCATGCAACGATCAGTGTTCCACTGTGTCCGGAGGACACAGTGGGCACCGAATCGCGGTGCCTCGCGCTCCCAGGGTCCATAATGGTGGGCGCCGTTTATGAATGGCAACCCGCCCCTGGAGTGCCACCGTCTTGCCGTTTATATACAGCGGCCGAACGGGAAGTGGTCAAGGAGCAGCTTGGTTTGTCTGTTCCTAAAACCTATAGTAGAGGTGCATGCATTGTCTAGTATAGTTGTAGGTATAGAGGAACACTTTGTTACAAAGATTACCCAGGATCTAGTCAGAATTTAAAATCAAACTGTAGGCAGCTATGAAGGACACAACTTAAAATGGTTGTGAACCTCAGATATGAAATATGAACAAAACATATCCCTCTATAGTGTGTACTTGTCTCAATTAAGTGCACTAAGTGTCATTTCTGTCTGTGGCTTTGTTCCTCAGCTATCAACATGAGTCACTTCTAATACGTTTTTCTGACACCAAGAGAAAAATGGTGACAGGGGAGGGGTCTCCATCTGATTGACAGCCACAGCTCTGTTCCTGTGTGTTGTGTAAAGCGGGTGTGTCTCTTCCCCCTTATCAGCTCTCCTCACTGAGCTCTATGAAGTGTCATTTCAACTTTCTGCCCCCTTTTTTCTGACAGCTCAGACACTCTTTGTAATTTCTGCACTTTGAACAGATGTAGAGAAGAAATGGTTGAAGATAGACAGTTGCAACATGTGTTGAAGGATATGTTTAATTTCTGAGTATCACTTAAGGTCAGTCACTTCAATAGGTATATAAAGGTTTGCAATCACTTTAATGCATCTCCATAACCATGACTATATAATGAAATGCATTTTCTAATGCAAGTGGTGTAAATACATGAAAATGACCTGCTGGTATCAGTTTACTGCAATCTGTGTACAGCAGTTCTGAAATGTAAGATTAGGAAGTGGCATAAGGAACCAATCAGATCATGTGCTGACAAAAAGCATGCTGATAGGAAGTGAAAAAAGTAGCAGAGAGATGTACTCATCACTGTGCTACTTCTTCTTTCACTGTCCAGTCAAAGGATTCAGAGGAGAAGGTGAGTTCAGGACAATCTGCGCTCAGAGGAAGTGGGTTGAATGATGCTGGGCATCAGACTAACTTCATCTAGTGGTAAAAAAAAGTGGGGAGAGGAAAAACTATGGACTAAAAATGAATACTGCAGCAAAAGTTGGTTTTGTTATTTTATCTTCTAATGGTCTATTATTTTTATCTTGTTATTTTTGGCTGAAGTTCTGCTTTTGAAATTTTTTTCACAAATGTTACCTGTAGTGACCACTAAGAGTCCTGCAAACTGTATCAAAATACAAAGTTAGCACAACTCAGTTGTACCAAATATTTTAGTGTTTAAACTCCCTACTATACCACGCTAGTTACAGCTTGGTGAAGACAGGCCGTTTTTGGGCAAAAGTTCAGCTACAGCAGCTTTGAGATTTTACTTCTGTCCAATTCAACCCAACATTGCACTTTTGCCATTGATCCACTACTGCTATCAGGTATGCCAGCTCTCACACAGCTGCGGTATATAGCCGGCCAAACCTAATATTTATGGAAAAACAGTTGGAGCTCTATGGAGAAGCTTCAGCAAAGTCTCATTCAAAAACTTACTGCAAAACAATCTGCCCTTTAAACATATTAGAAAATGTCATTTTTGATGTACATAAAGCTAGTAGAAGTGCACATATTTGTAGTCTGCAAATTTTCAAAACATTAAAATGCAAAATCAATTATGTTGATGCTTGTTTGTTGCATGTTTGCTTGATTGGTACTGGTATAAATAAAATGTGCCTGCAGAGATTAAAACAATAAACTGGTATAGGTCATCTACAGACTTTATGTCAGGAAGATACTTGCCACAGTGTGGCTGAAGCCTCTGGATATACTCGGTGGCACAGGCGCAGATGTGTGAGGGCCCGTTCTGCTGTGCATAGTTGTGCGCATTTGCGTTCACGCATGCACACACCTTCAACTGCCCGTTGCTAATGTTGGGGCCAATTAGACTATTTAAACCCAACAGCTGTGCTGTCTGATCTGCAGCTCCCCCCCCCAGTATTCCTGTGCCTGTCTCTGTGAGTGATACCTGTGATTGACCTCAGCTTGTTTCTTGGACTCGACCTTTGCCTTCTGTCTCTGCTTGATCTCCCACCATTATTGACCTTTGCCTGTGATCCGACTACTCTTCTGCCTCCCATTTATGCCTGATCCGCTTATCTGTTACTGAACCGGCCTGTATGACCCTAAATACATCTGCCTGCTACCAGCCTGCTTCACTGCCAGCCTGTCCAGCTGTCCCATCCGCCAGTGAAGTACCAGCGATTCCTGCACAGACTACAGGGCTGACCAGGCATTCATACCCCGCCGTGCTCTTGTGGTTGCTGTTTCACCTTCAGTGGCCCTAGAGATGGAGCTGTGCAAGAAGCCTTCCTCTGCCATCAGGCTCACAAGCAAGGTACGTGACACTTTAAGTGTATCTAAACAAATACACTGCTCAAAAAAATTAAAAGAACACTTAGAAAACACATCTGATCTCAATGGGGAAAAATATCATGCTGGATATCAATACTGATATGGACTGTGTAATGTGTCAGGAACGTAAGGATGCCCCATCATTTGATGGAAATGAAAATTATCAACCTACAGAGGACTGAATTCAAAGACATCCCGAAAGTCAAAGTGAAAAAATGATGTAGCAGGCTAGTCAATTTTGCTGAAATTTCATTGTAGCAACTCAAAATGGTACTCAGTAGTTTGTATGGCCCCCACGTGCTTGTATGCATATCTGACAACGTCGGGGCATGTTCCTAATGAGACAACGGATGGTGTCCTGGAGTATTTCCTCCCAGATCTGGACCAGGGCATCACTGAGCTCCTGGAAAGTCTGAGGTGCAACCTGGTAGTGTCGGATAAACCTAAACATGATATCCCAGAGGCATTTTATTGGATTTAGGTCAGGCGAGCGTGGGGGCGATTTAATGGTATCAATTCCTTCATCCTCCAGAAACTGCCTGCATACTCTCACCACATGAGGCGGGGCATTGCCGGGCACCCAGGACTCACTGCATTAGCGTAGGGTCTGACAATGGGTCCAAGGATTTCATCTTGAAACCTAATGGAAGTCAGGGTGCCATTGCCTAGCCTGTAGAGGTCTGTGCGTCCCTCCATGGATATGGCTCCCCAGACCATCACTAACCCACCACCAAAACGGGTATTCTGAACGATGTTACAGACAGCATAATGTTCTCCATGGCTTCTCTAGACCCTTTCATGTCTGTTACATATGCTTAGGGTGAACCTGCTCTCATCTGTGAAAAGCACAGGGCGCCAGTGGCGGACCTGCCAATTCTGGTGTTCAATGGCAAAGTCCAGTCAAGCTCTATGGTGCAGGGCAATGCGCACAGGGCCCACTAGAGGACATTGGGCCCTCAGGCCACCCTCATAAAGTCTGTTTCTGATTGTTTGGTCAGAGACTTTTACACCAGTGGCCTTCTGGAAGCCATTTTGTAGAGCTCTGGCAGTGCTCATCCTGTTCCTCCTTGCACAAAGGAGCAGATACCAGTCCTGCTGATGGGTTAAGGACCTTCTATGGCCCTGTCCAGCTCTTCTAGAGTAATTGCCTGTCTCCTGGAATCTCCTCCATGCTGTTGAGACTGTGCTGGGAGACACAGCAAACATTCTGGCAATGGCACGTATTGATGTGCCATCCTGGAGGAGTAGGGCTGTCTGTGCAACATCTGTAGGGTCCAGGTATCACCTCATGCTACCATTAGCATAGCCAAATGCAAAACTAGTGAAAAACAAAGAATAGTTGAGTAGGGGAAAAAATATGTCAGTGGCCTCCACCTGTAAAACCATTCCTGTTTTGGGTGTCATCTCATTGTTGCCCATCTAGTGCAACCTGTTGTTAATTTAATTAACACCAAAGCAGCTGAAACTGATTAACAACCCCGTCTGCTACTTAACGGACTAAATCAACCAGGAGTTTAATTGACTTGATGCTATACTTATATAAAGTGTTCCTTTAATTTTTTTGAGCAGTGTATATTGTAATCTTATATGTGATGGCTGCAATAGTTTACTGCTTTTATTTTTTTCTTCTTTATTTTCACTTGGTGTTCTGACCAGTAACACATTTCTTCACTTAGGGTGTATCCTCTTTCTATGGAGGAGTAATGGAGACAACATTGGACAGCAGCACTATCTGGGGTTGTAGTGGTAATGGACTAATAGATTTAGATGGATTTTACATAAGTGACTAACAAATCAAAGCCTATCTCCAGCTAACACTTTTTACGCAGTTACAAAAACTGTTTTTTGTTTTCCTTTTGGGAAAAAGGTTTTACATATATTAATAAAAGATGAACACTAACAGCACCCCTGTCAGTGGTAAATGGTTTGTCTCAACCCTTTAACTTCCATTTTTGCTGGATAGCTTAGTCTGTTAAGTTAAAAAAATAAGCTACAGGGGTTCTCAGAAAAACAAAGACTGCTTTGATAATGCTGGTGACAGACTGCATCATATATAATTTTTTTATTTTGCCTTCAGTACCATTAACTGCTTAAGGACCGCCCTATAGCAGATATACTGCTACAAGGTGGCACCTGTGCTCAGAATCACGTATATATACATCATTTTGCATTTCCGGGTAGGGGAGCACGCTCGCGTGCCCTACCCGCGCCGCCATTCACGATCGAGCATCTCCGTCGGGGAGGAAAATTGTTTTGTTTACAAACAATCTTCCTCCCTGTCAGCTCGAGCACACTGCTCAGGATGGCTGTGCACAGTACAGCCATCCCGATCAGTGTGCTTACAGTGAAGAACACCCCCCGCTCCATAGTAAAACACTCCCAGCACACAGTTAACCCTTTAAACACCCCTCACATTAACCCCTTCCTGCCCAGTGCCATTAGTACAGTGTCAGTGCTTTTTTTTTTTAGCACTGATCACTGTATTTGTGTCATTGGGGTGTCAGTGACACCAAGTCATTTACCCTCAGTGTCAGATTGTCCACTGCACTCCCACTAAAAGCCGCCATTACTAGTAGAAAAAAAAATTCCATTATCTATACCGCCATTTGTAAACGCTATAACTTTCACATAAACCAATTAATTTACACGTATTGAGAAATTTTTTTTTTTTAGCAAAAACATGTCGCAATACATTTTGGTCTAAATTTATGACAAACTTAGATTTTTTACATATTTTTACTAGATATGTTTAATATCACAAAGCCCAAAATATTGTTTTTTCTCAAAATTGTCGGTCTTTTTTTGCTTATAATGCAAAAAATAAAAAACACACAGGCGATCAAATACCACTGAAAGAAAGCTCAATTTGTGGGAAAAAAGGAAGTCAATTTCATTTGGATACAGAGTTGCATGACTGCACAATTGTCAGTTAAAGTAACTCAGCGCCGTAATACAAAAAATGGCCTGGTCATGAAGGGGGGGAAATCCTCAGGATGGCAAGTGGTTAATAGAAATGTTTATCTACTTTTACCACTTTAACTCCAGAAGGTTTTACCTTGAGTAATGGTAATTGTCATGCAACTCTGTACCCAAATGAACTGTATGTCATTTTTATTCATCCAAATAGAGTTTTGCTATTTGATGCCCATTGGGTTTTTTATTTTGTATTATATAAATAAAAAAGACCAAAAATTTTGAAAAAAAAACCCAAAACAAAATTTTTTACTTTTTACTATAAAACATATCTAACAAAAAATGTTTAAAATCTAATTTTTTCATAAATTTAGGCAAAAATGTATTCTGCTACATGTCTCTGGTATAAAACAAAAACCCAATAAGTGTATATTGATTTGTTTGTGTGAAAGTTATAGCGTCCACAAACGATGGTATTTGTACTGGAATTTTTATTTATTCATTATGGTGCTGATCAGCGACTTACTGTACAGTTGGAGTGTGATAGTGCTACTGCCAATGTGAAATTAATTGATACTGGGTGGGAACTGACACTGACATCACCAGTGACATTAATACAGTGATCAGTGATAACACATTACACTGTCACTGTACTAATGACACTGGCTGGGAAGGGATTAACATCTTGGGGTAATCAAGGGACTAAGAGTGTGCCTAACAAGAGTTAATGTGTGTATTATGTGCTGCTTTTTACTAAAAATCTATTTTTTCCTCCTCCCTGCACAGCAGGGACAACCAGACCAGCCACAATTATTGCTACTGAATTAAGTGCTCTATTCCTGGGTAATCTTTTTACAGGGTTTTTTTCTTTTTGTTCTTTTGTACTTTGGACTGCCCTCCCTGTTTGGCTTATATGATTCCTGTGTGGTAAACTGTTTTGATAACCAACACTATAACTCCAATATGTTAAATAAATATCCCTAAACACATAAGCTAATACACATATAATGAACCCAAACAATCATATAATAAATCCCAAAATATCCAATACATATACATAACATAAAAATTATAATAAAAATAAATATATAAAAAATTATCAAAAATATTATCCAAATTGTAAGTCACTCGTGTCCAAAAAAATATATATAAATAAAGTCACTCCAAAACTTTGTGTCCAAAAATATGCAATTTATCATATCCTTTGGTAGCCCCTCCAATGGCTCCCAAAAGGAAAGAATGTACCTCAAAAGAAAGAAAACTCATATAGTGCATTAACCTAATAAATTAAATATCATACCCATATGTCATATGCACTGTACAGCTTCAAAAACTGTGAAAAATTAAAGTGAAAATGTGAACACTGTGTAAAAAACCGTGATAGTGCTTCACTCTTTGAATACAGTAATCCAAGTGCCCAAGTGTTAGTTTGCACTTTCAAGGGTGAAAGTTAGATCTTATATTTTAGAGGGTATAGTTGACAGTATATTTATTTGGTTGATACCGTAGCTATAGATTTATAAACTGTTTTGATAACCTCCCTTTTGAACGCATAAAAAATATATTGAAATATACATCCACGATTGACCGAAATAATTGCTTTATAATTTTAACTTGCGATATCAACAACAAACCGTACACATTGGTAAATTTATATGCTCCCAATGCGTCAGGTGTTCAAGAAACTTTCCAAAATCAAGTATGGTAGCCTCCTTATATGCAGAGACTTTAACCTTACAGTTGATCCATACATGGACATGTCCACATCTCCTAAAGGTCACACTTCCACGTTAAGGTCCCTTTTCCAAGAAGAGGAAGTATATGATATATGGAGCTCTTGGGCAGGGCAGGGCAAAACCATTAGAGGGCATGGCCAGAACGGCAGCTGAGGCCATTCCTCAACATTGGACTACAGGGGTGGGTTGAGCAGCGTCCATCCCTTTTCTTGTATTGGCTGACACTGGAAACGCTCGGACTCATGTTCCCCTTATCTCACTTGCCGGTGGGGTGATTCTTTTCCTTCCATCCATACCTTGGAGTAGAGCCATAAGATATACTTTTTTCTGTTTACATGCTAACGAGAATGACTACACTTTTTTCTCCTAAAGACATCAGTCTTACTCTCGTATAGATTTATTTGTTTCTGATAAATCATTATTGCGCAAGTATCCTCTTTCAACATATCGGATATTACGTGGTCTGACCACGCAGCTATCACTATCACTTTGGTTGAAAAGAATACTTGCCCCCCCGTCAGTGTATGGCGATGCAATAATAGAATCATTCAGGATCCAGGTAACAATGCTTTGCTTTCTCAGTATTTTAGGGAATATTTTTCCGCGAATGACACACTTGATGTTAACGCTTTTACTGTATGAAATGCCCCTAAGGCATTTACGAGGGGTGTCATTCTAAAACTGCGTGCCCAAACTAAGCGTAAGCTTAATACTTGCTATAACACTTTATTAAAAACCATTCATGAGCTGGAATTTATAAACGAATCTAAACCTGACAAAGCTACTTCTGACTCCATATTTAAGCTGCGGACAGAACTCTACAACTCCAACATAAATGCCTGCAATTCCTAAAACTTCAATACTATGCCCACAACAATAAGACAAGTAAATTTTTAGCCAATAGACTTAAAGTTCAATGTACCAAAACTAAACTTACTCATATCACTCACCCATTTACTAAACAGAAAGTATTGAACCCCCAATCTATTGCAGACATTTTTGCAGACTTTTATAGCTCGCTCAATAACTTAAAAGATAATATTTCTACACCTCAATCTGCTGATTCTGATATTGAGGCCTTTCTGTACCACTTACAATTACTAATGCTGAACAACACTCAACTTGAAATTCTAAATGCTCCCTTTACTCCAAATGAAATTATCAACACAATTAAGACCCTTCCCGCAAATAAATCACCAGGCTCTGATGAGTTTACTAACAAATACTACTACAAATCCTTTAGCAACACTCTAGCTCCATTCATGTCAAAGATATTTAATGCTGCACAAGAACATGTTTCATTCCCACAAGAGATGCTGAGGGCGCACATTGTTGCACTCCCTAAACCCAGAAAGGATCCAAATACCCGATCTAACTTTAGACTCGTATCCCTGTTCAATTCCAATATCAGGGTGTATGCCAAAAAGATAGCAGCCTGACTCATGAATATTATACCATTACTAGTACAACCCAACCAACTAGGGTTCGCTAGAGGCAGACAGGCTTCAGATGCCACTAAAATGCATAATAAATATTATACAGTATGCTGAAAAATAACGAACGCCTTCTCTGCTGTTATCCATTGATGCAGAGAAGGTGTTCGATAGAGTGCATTGGTGATATATGCAGCATGTTCTCCAAAAATTTTGTTTCCAAGGACCTATAGTGTCAGCAATACTTGCCTTATAGTCGTGCCCCTCAGCACAGGTTTACATTTCTAACTTAATCTCTAAACCCTTTTCCATCACGAACGGCAACTGCCAAGGCTGCCCATTATCACTACTCATTTTCAATATAATGATTGAGCTACTAGCGGAGACAATTCGTATCGATCCTGCCATTATTGGTTTTACATTCCATACCAGACCACATGTTATAAAACTGTTTGCTGACGATGTCATACTTCTCTTGACAAATCCTACTAAATCCTTACACCAAGCGTATAAAGTTCTCATGCACTTCAGTGCTATTTCATACTATAAAGTAAGTTTTTCTAAATCACTAATCCATAATATAGGAATTCCCAGTAAGGATCGTTCAATTTTAGCACAGACTTACCCCTACTCATGGAACACAACCAGTGTGCCATATTTAGGCATCCCCCGACCCCCTCAATTTCCACCCTAGCTGAAGCTAACTTTAAACTTTTCATATCTAAACTTGAAAAACTTGAAAAAAGTCAGTCTGGTAGATTGGCTTCCTATAAGATGCTTATTCTCCCACAGATACTCTATTTTTTCTGCATTCTCCCCGCTTTCACTCAAACCCTTTCTCATAAAATCCCTAACAGGTATTCTGAAGATATTCATATGGAAACAAAAGAGGGCTAGATGTGCATACAGCCAGCTCATCAAACACAAATTGTCAGGTGGAATAGGAATGGTAGACATCAAAGACAACTATTATGCTGCCCTTTTAGACCATATTCGACACTGGTGTCAACCCTCCTGCAAGGTATTATGGGTGGATATAGAAACCGCCTTAACCACCATAAACGTACATTTTCTATTATCAGCAGACATCTGGTCATGTCTCTGGATAGTCTCTCCCCCTATTACTAAAGTTTCATTGATGGCTTGGAGAGCACTTCGAATCCGTTTAGGCCAATGCAAATCAAACTTTAGAGTTAAAGTACCTATAGCAATCTGCAACACAATATTACCCCACCTGAACCATTCTAATTGGGCCCGTTTCAACTTGAATTGGGTGGAGAATCTCTATGATGGAGACAAACTTAAAACCATTGAGGAACTGCGTACAGAACATAATTTACCTATAGCTGAAACCTTCCAACTGTTCAGCATATGTCACTACCTAGCAGATGGTACCTCCCCCCATATGCCTTAGCCCAATTTTGCTCAACCGCATCCCCTCTCTGCTGGCACGGCTGTTGCCAAGATTACAATTACTGCACATATTTTGGTCATGCAAAAATCTAAGAAGCTTCTGGAAGAGTGTGTTCCATCTCCATATTGAAATAGAAATGGAAACAGTAGAATTCTCAGTGGCAGCTGTGAAGTAAGGCAACCAAATTTGTTTCCATAGACATTTCAAACTTCTAGCAGCTGAAGAAAGTCTTTCTTCAGGTGACACCAACAGAATAACTTCTGCCAATTTTGCAGTCTCCTGGTCAGTTTTGCATTCCTTCATTGCAGCAATATAAGCCATAAAGCTGATGTACTAGAGGAGTTGATCATTTTGCTTCAATTATCCAGTCTTATGAAAGACTAAATCCTGATAACTGAAGTGATTATCCACACAATCTCTTGTGTGAAGATTCTCAACATCTTTAGTAAATCACCTCATATAAATCTCTGTCTACAGTCAATGCAGAGGTGTAAGGCGCTGTCCATTTCTTGTCCCATCTCAGTTTTCCCACCTACCTTTACAGCAGTAGGCATAAAAAATGTAAAGCCTCATAATAAATGGAAAGGTGGTACGCTTGACCTTAACCAAATGTTTAAAAGTCGGTATTCTTTTTTCCCTTACTCAAAATGGTTTGATGTAAGAAGAGTAGGTTGGATTCCTCCGTTTGAACATAAAAGTGTCTTGTAATTGTTACATAAATACATCACAAGAAGGACTGTTTCTACCACCATAATGTAAATGTGGCAGAACGTTTTCTACAGCTTCTTGTGCCCAACTAACTTCTTGGGTGCCTGTTTCTCTATAAGTGGATATCGATGAATCTGCCAATATAGAAATGGTTATGGCTGTGTAGGTGTGGAGCAGGGCTGTGATGAGAACAAAGCATTGTGATGGGAGCAGAATGAAAGAGCTGGCTCTGGAAGTGTAAAGGCTGCCTGCATCTGGACAGAAAATAATTTATCTGTATATAAAAAGCACCACTGTCAGTGTTTACTTCAACTAGACCAGAGAAATCTTAGAAACTGTATAAGGTAATGGTAAAGTGTTGATAACAACTGCATTTGGTTCAGTGAATCAGATATAAATAAAAAGGAAACAATTTATGTGTTATTAGAAATCTGGACACATTTACTCTTTAATTATACAATATTCATATGTGATAATAATGATTGGAAAAGCCCGCTATCTTACCCTCCATGC